CCTTCCATTGGCTTTAGGGTGTTATCTGAGTTGAACACATCAGCATATCCATTTAAGAGGAAAGTTTTTACATCATTACATTCTTCATCAGAAGGATTTTGTAACATTGCAAATTTACAATTATTTATTTCTGCATTTAGAAGTGGAAGTAGTGCTGGAAAATGTGAATGAATAATACCTAAGTTTATAAGAGTTTGCGGTCTACTAGAAGCTCTCTTACTCCGGAATAGATGTATATCAAAACCTGAACGCTTTTATTATAGTAGTTTATATTACAAGTCAGATATCCAAGCATGTTTAATTTGGATTTGTCTGCAGATTCCAGACTTACATTGGAACGTCTTAGATTTTTCGTAATGTATTTTAATTTTTTCAAAAACTCTTCACCTGCAACACAAACTTCTGCCACTGTATCCAGTGTTGCCTTGTATTCAAAATTCACGTCACTAGAAAGATGTAACTTTGATTTGTATTTGCTTTGTCTGACGATCATCATTACATGACAATGAACTAATTCGAAGCCATCCAATCTTAAGAATTTCTGGATCTTTTGACGTGTATTTTACTGTTTGAATCTCTTTTGATAAACAGCAACTGTGTCATGGATTATTACATCTAGGACATTTCTTTTTGTTATATTTACTCGCCTGATTTTTAATTTGTATTTTTTAAATACTACTTATAGACATATTTTCTTCAGTTAATGCAGCTTCTTCAATTTCACATAATTTAACCACCTCTTCTACGCCTGCAGTATCTGATAACTTTCTACATTTTTTTCGAATAGAACCATCAAATACGGATTCTATGAGGTGGCCTGCTAAACATATGTTGCAACAGTGGGGACATGGATCTGTAGTTAACTGAAAAAGTTAACTTTTTTCCCTGTAAAACGATGAGAAAAACTCACCTTGTTTCCTGTTTTCTGGATATAAATTGGCTTCTTCTTAAACGATTCTTTTCTTTTTTCTTAAAATATTCTTCATGTTTATTGAGTAAATCCACTGCTGTTAGATTATCTTTATTTTCAATTTTAAGTACCAATCTAACATCAGAAATATCCTGACTAAAAAAGGATTCAAGAAGCGTCACTAATTGTTTTTCGGGAAAACATTCCAAATTCTCTAATATCACGTAATTTTCATATTTTCGCCTCCAATCTTTAAACTGAGAAAATGTTAAAGATTCTACAATTTTTTGAGGATTGGGAACTGCACTTGAAAGAAGGATTTCAGACCTGGAACTAGTCGCCTTATTTGTATAGGAATTTTCTTGACTAGCGTTGGAAATGTTAGTGGATATTTCAGGAGGTTCTGTTGAACTACTTTGTGTATTATTGTCTCTCATCACTCGATTTTCTAACATAGTCTAAATAGAAGAGCATTGGCGTCCAAAATTAGATTCTATTCATATTAAAGCATCATTAGTTTTCTTTTCTAACAAAGTAATACGATTTTGTGTACAAGATACTGCAGATTCTAAAAAAGTCAATCTGCAACTAGCAGCATTCATCCAGCATTACTAGAGTTGATTGAGAATGACGATCAGTATATAACAAACAACTTAATATTCAAGCAAGACGGTGCGCCACCCCATTTTGCACTGACTGTTCGTCAGTATTTGGATCAAACGTTTCCAGATCAACGGAACGGAAGAAGAGGAAGTATTGACTGGCCCCCACGGTCTCCGGATCTAACCCCGTTAGATTTGTTTATGAGGCCACTTAAAACTTAAAATTTATGCCACCCAGCCAACATCACTGGAAAATCTGCGACAACGGATAATTGATGACACTAGCGATTTAAAACTCGGGGGTTATAATCTAGGTAAAAATACCTTCAAAATAAGATTTTAGGGGGAAGTTTCACCCCCGCTAAAGGGTTTCCTTTCAGGGGGTAAAACTGGCAAAAAAATATTTCTCCCTAAAATCAGAAACTGACGGGTCTGAGCGTTTTTTCGTAAATGACCGGAGGTGTCCAAAATTGTCTCTATTTCGTTTTCAAATGGCCACCCTGTATATATAGAATACTCCATTATGTGTATATTAATAAATCATCAAAAATCTTCTAAACCCATGATAGTTAATAAATGTTTTATATTGTGTTTCTACATATTTCATTGGTACTCTAGCACCGTAGCACGATTGAATATATGTCAATAATTATGGCTAAAACTAGCATATAGGGTTGCTAAAAGCCAGATATCCCGATTTAAGTGTAGGCCTCAAGCATACCGATTGTTGTTACTCCCGTCTGCCGCTTCAATCCTCAAAACTCCAGCAATTCGACATTTGACAATACCTTTCTTTTTTTTTAAGAAAATTTTCATAAAGTCAACACTTTAAAATGTTTTAAAAACCGGTGGTGACCCTAAGTGTTTTGTGGAGGGGGGGAAGAAGCTCCCATTTCCCGCACAGAGGCCGGGCACCCAAAGCAATTTTTGAGTTCCGGCGCCTATGCACAACAACGATTAAACCTATGTATTGATCAAAATAAAGGACATGTTGAACATTTGTTGTAATTTTATATTATAGTTTAATTATTAAATTTTAATATATAAGATTCGTTTATGATAAAACTTCAGATTTTGCAATGCTGTTATCATGATATATACACAAATTATCTAGTCTGCAAATACATTTTACTAGTCAAATTATTAAAAATGATTGACCCAATCGCGTTTAAACAGGAATACTTTTTTGTAGAAAAAGCTATGAAAATTTGTTTTCTTAAACAATTTTTTTGAAAAGATAAAATTAAAATAAAGTAGGGGTAAGAATACCAAATCGTCCCACTTAAACTACCCCTCTATAAATATTTTTTTGTTTTACCACTAATATTAAAGATTAAACTTTTTAGTTCTCTAAGAAATTTGTAGTTGACAGTTTGCTCCGATTGGAAGTTAGAACCGAAAAACTGGTTTTTGTATTCCCTTTTAGAGTGGTTTTATCTCTCTTATTTCAAAGTTTCAGAAATTAGTTTATAGCAAACGGACCTTCATTAATTTCATTGTTTTATCACCTGCTAAAATATTTGTATTCCTTTTTGACTCACCTAGTATGCAAACAAATTGGAAGAACACAACACAATAACTAAGATTTGTTGAAGTGGAGTCTCATTTATGGCATGCGCTTGCACATTGAATATCTCATATAGAGAAAGTTATTTTTTTTCAAATTTTCTATTTTGTTAGTTCATTCTGACAAGCAAAATTTTAAACGCGAACTATACACACTGCCCAATGAGTGAAAAATCCTATGTTAATGATAACAATTTGTTTATAATTTGTTACGGTGCTTCAATATCCCCATGGGTATACCAAGTGCGATCTTGTACATAGATAAAAGTAATCGGGTAAATTCTTTTGTTAAAATCCTCCCTTATATTCCGAAAGGTTATGCCCAAAAACAGACGTTCGAGAATGAAGAATGATTAAAACAAAAATATACTCAATATGGCAAACATAAATACAAAGCACAATTAAGAAGAGATTTGTATATTTTTAATAGTTACTGCCGATTAGGTAGGTTTAAAAAAAAATAATAAAAATTTAAAAACTTAAATTGGTGTGTTCAAAACACAGATCGTAGCGTGATTTCGTATCCCAAAGCTATTTTAAGTTACGAATATATTTAAAATGGGTGTTTTGAAAGATACGCTACTGAGATTTTAGATTCATAATAGGCAAGGAACTTGTTGAGTAATTTGAGAAATGTCATTGATATTAATAAAGAAGAAGAAATTCGTAAATTTTTATTGAAATTATTAAAAACAATGGCGACTAGTTTTAGTACTAAGAATCATCATCAGAACTACAATAATAATAAAAAACAAGATGACAGAAACTGTTTATTCCAAAATATAACAACAGAAACTATTAGTTAACGAATTTAGTAAATAGTTAATAATAATTGAAAAAGCCACCGTACAAAAAAAAAGTAGGTGGAAAATTTGGACAAAAGGTACCTGGGTAGATATTCATTATCATTAGATAATCATAACATAATAAAAAAAATGTAAGCAATAATTATTTTAACACTCCCAACAAACGCTTTGTTATGGCAAGTTGACGGCTTTAAACTTACCCAGCCTGTCTTTTTATTACACAATGTGAGTCTTATTTCTGTTTGGATTATATTTACGCTTAGTATCATTATCAATGGGGAATGATCTGAGTCTAAGTCAAAGTTTTCTTCTATTTTATTAAAGTTTCCGGGTATTTTTCTAGTCCAGTAAGTCAGGTATTTTATTTCTGTCATTTGGCCAATAGGTTGCCAATAAGTAGTGAGAGGCCTGAAAATGGCCAGCATTTTCCATAATATTGTAAAACACGTGAGGTATTTTAAAACGTTTATTAACAAGAAATACAAATGTTTAAAACGAATACGATTGACAAGTATCTTTTAATCTGACTGACAATTATTTTATCTCCGACAACTATATCCACTTCTACTAGTGGCAACTCAACATCTTCCTCCTGTACCTTGGCAGTACTAGCCGGCTAACTCGTTACACTGCCCTCTTTCTTATATGCATTCTTCCTGGAATGCTGATGCTATCGGACGTGTTGTAGCTGTACCCGCAATCTTCGGTATGTTCCCCTTTAAACGGTGCAAGTCGATCATGATGGACCACCATGAGTTTCCCTCTGGGAGCCTTGACAATTCGGTAAATGACGTGATTAATTTTCTTTTTTACATAGACCTCGTTTTCTTTGCGGATTACACAGTCAGACGAAATTTCCCTCCTGGTAGCTGGTCTCTTCTGTTCTTTTGTAATAATGCCTCTTCATGCGATCACTAGCTAGCTGCAAATTAGCACGGACTAATTCATGACAGGTATCAATACCTTTGGTGAATTTGGTACATGTATGTTTCAACCGCAGATCGAAAGATGAACGTTTTGGCTTCTCCATTTCTGAATGTTTCGAAGGTTCCAGAGATTGAAATCTTTCCAAAAAATCCATTAAATTGTTAAAATCTGGAACTTCATGTGGCTAACTTAATGTATATTCATTTAACCTGTTGTTATTGGTATTGGTATTCCATTTTCGCATTACGATTCGAGTTAACATCGGTCCCCATGATCCTGTATCAATACCAATTTTGGTCATAGCATTTATACATTCCATTATAACATCATGGAGTTCTTTGAGTTTATTAGATACTTCATTATGTCTTACTGGCAAATCCAATATTTTATCAACTAATGTTGCTACTAGTTTTCTTTTATTTTGATAACGTTTTTTTAAAATGTCCCAAGCTGACTGGTAGTTGTGTTCGCTTATTCCCAAATGTTTTATCATTTGGCTAGCTTCTCCCCGAACATTCTTTTTTAAATACTGCATTTTTTCAAAGATTGTAAGGCAACTGCTTTCATGAATAACTTTTTGGAAAATGTCATGAAATGTAAACCATTGGTCACAGTTCCCATCAAACATCGGTAGTTTTATTTTTGGTAACTGCATGTTCAGTCTATTTTTATCATATTGATTTGGATTCCCATTATTTGCAATTTTTTCTTCAATTTTCTTCATTAGTTCCTCTACATATTCCTCCTTTTTAGTGAATATCCCTTCTATAAAATATCTGTTTTGGAAAGTTTCAACAGCCATAATCTCCTCATGTAATTCCGAAATACTCCCCCATGTCTTTCCTGATGTGTTTATGAGCCACTGATCTTTGGAGTTGATCTTATTTTCATCCATTTCCATTTTTGTTTTTCAGTCTCATTTCTTGATCAGTATCCTCAAGATTTAACTTTCTTACCATCTCTGATTTACTTTCCTCTTTAAATTTTTGTCATTGTACCAGGTAGCCTTTGGTTTCTTCATATTTCTTTTTTAATTGTTTTAACATTTTTTTTTTTTAAACTTTTGCTCGAAGGACCATGTTGTTTAAATGACTTTTATAAACAGTTAAAAAGTAAGTTTCAACCTTTGAATCACCCTGTGTATTAAAATATTTTACTACTAATATAGTTTCTGGAATAAGTGTAACAAAAATGGATTCTGTCCGCCATTTAAAAAAATACAAAACTATTTTTGGTAAAAAAATAGGTAATGTTCGTCTAAATATTTTGAGCAGATTAATTGTAACTTCTGGAATGAAATAGCTACATTCTATGAAACGTTTTGGGTACTAACTAAATTAGTTGATTGATTTTTATTAAACAAAATAGACAATATAACCCTGGCAATTAAAATTCTAAATTTTATACTTAAATAAATAGCATAGCTTATTCTTGTTGGTGGTTACATTGTCTGTTTTTTATATGAATATATAAGGGAAGGATTTCTGAATGGCTGTATGTACCTTCACAATTTACAAGGTACTGTGTCCTTATTCATAAAACACTTTGATAAATGTAAAATTTTTGTTCTTATCGAGCGATTTTTGCTTGATCTCGGACAAAGTAAGTTTGTATGTGTGCAGTTAAAAATGTGTTTTTTATTTAAATTTTAAAAATAAACTAAATGTGACATATTCAATTTTTTTAGGATATCTCAAATTGCATTGTAGGAAAATAAATACACAATACAATAATGGTAGTGTGTTATTAATTCCATATAGAAAACATTGAGACACATATATAGGTAGATTTAATATGTCAGAATTATACACACATACAAAAACTTACTTTCCCCAAATTTCACGAGGTTATTTTTGAATTTGTCTCTTCTCAATTTTTGGGAAAATCCAAATCAATGTGGAAATTTGTCTTGAAAAACGAGTGTAAAATGTTCTAATTTGTTATCCACAATATTTTTACATTTTTAATTCTATCATTTTGGAATAGGAATAATGGAAATACAAAATTATTAACAATAAAAGTGGAAGTGGACTCACAAATAATATAATACTGATAAAAATAGAAATAGAAATATCCCTATTGAATGAGGTTTAATTAAAATTCGACAAACGTTGAATTGGTGATTGCCACCTTATCGAGACTTAGGCCCGAACATACAAACTTGCAGCATAAAAGAGACGAGAAACGAGCAGGCATTACCAGAGTATGGAGGACCCCGCCCACTTTTTTAAGCTACTTTTTTACAAACTGTGCATGCGCGGCATATGTCACGTGTCAGCTGTCATGTCAACTGTCATCTGTCATTCCAGTGTTGCTTACTGGCAACTGTCAATCCAGTGTTGTCAATAATCTGTCAATTGTCATGTCAGCTGTCAATACAGCATTGCCAACTGGCAACAGTGTTTCTAACCTAACCTAACAGGAGTGAAGAGTCGCCACGAGATGCCACTACCTATGTTGATTGCGATTTTATTATAGTTGAAATAACAATTACCCCTTGTTTTTGGCTCACATCCAGCTTACAGCTCACATCGTCGGAGGTACATTTAATTGAATTCTGTACTACAAACATTCAATTAAATGTACCTTGATGATGGCACAATAACTAATTTGAGGCTGAAATGTGCAATTTTAATTAAAATTCTTCCCGCCAATATCTAAGGAACCGTTTATCTTACAGATCTGAGATTCTGGTCATTTACCCTTTTGGGCCCATGTAAAAATAATATTTTAATTAATTTACCTTTTCTGATCCTAATATCAAATTCAAATAAGATATATATTCTGGAGTTCGTTAAAACTCGTGCCAAAATCATCATTATTTCACTATCCAGAACATTATTTGTATAAAATCCACATTTATTTTAACTTTTATTTTTACTTACTACTTTCAGTTCAATAAGTAATAACCAATCAAATAAAAAAAAGATCTGTGGTTTACAATTCACAAGCATCGCTCTCTAGTGAAATCAATGCCCGTGCCGTAGAGCATAAAATAAGCTTCATAAAAAAATGCATTGTATTTTAAAAACCACTGATATTTAAAGCACCTAAGTTAAACGAAAATTCTTAGCTGGAAGAAATTATCAAGTAAAATCAAAACTGCAAGTCGATTGGAGCTTTCGTTCTAGAGTTATCATATCGACGCACATATATACGCACGCAGGTCGAGTTTTGTTTTCGTTTTTGGACTCATAGTGGTCGGAAACATGGAGAAAAGTAATAAAAATAGGGATAACATATTCTCTGCAGTAATAAAGCTAGTTGCCATTATTTCTTGTTAAATCTATTTGTTGACATTGGCGGAGTTAAAAAAATATTCCTGGGGTATGCACACCCACAGCCGTTCAAAAATAATTTGAAACAATTACTCTAAAATTTTAAAATGTATTAAGCAGTTAGATTTTAAATATTTATACACATAAAACATCCCTTAATGCATGGAGAAATCACTATGTAGCTCCGGGTAATATTTACTCGCTGCACTCTATATATAGGTCTATTATATAGATATGTATAATTCTAAAAACAGTAAATTTAAGTTAAAAGCAGTTGGAAAAAAGAATTCAAAATTGTAAAAATATTCAAATATACCATTAAAATTAATTTATTTTGGTACAATATGTTTATTTTGTATTAAAATTGTATAATATGTAAACAATACTCGAATATGAAGATACAAATTCAAGAATAACCTATTAGAAGTTAAAAACTGCCATTTCCAGATGTTTTTCGTTTGAAAAAAAAAATTTAGCCATAAAGTTAGAATTTTGCTATAGAAGCAGACCAGAGTATATTCCCAATATCCTTAATTTTTGCTTCGACAGGTTTAGTAGGCAATTATTTAATAAAACAAAAAGTTTGAACTAGTGTGTTTTTGGGATTTTTGCCAAATAAATCGAATAAATATCTAGCCTTAAAATATTTTGCAAGGAGACTTAGAGTGAAGGTCTTTATGAAAAAGATAGAATATATCTCAGAATATCTTGGAGAAGAATTTAAAAAAAAACACATTCCTGTCACATCTTCAACCATCATACGTCATTTTGTCTCCCCTCCATTACTGTAACCAATACACTTAAAAAATGGAGAAATGCTTATCATGGCTGATACATTATCAAAAAGGTAATTTTATGGGGCATTCATCAATATGACTAATCATTACTTTTGATTTTAACTGTTAATTTGTAAAATATGACACTTCATTTGATAGTAAATGTAATACATAATAAAATATAATTGAATGAAATTTGAACTCAAATAATTGACAAATATTGCAGAGCTCTAACAATAAAAAACTTTAATCGCCATCAACCAAAATAACGTTTTGCGCATTACATCACTAAGTAAAATTAGTTTTCAAATGAAGTACCACAATTTACAATAGAAGAGACCATTCAACAGTGGCCATCTTTTTACTTATTTGGGTTTTGGGCATTTAGTAATTAAATTTATCGTCTTTTAATTATTTCATCTGAAATCACTTTTACTTAGTTTCAAAGGACCATGCCTTGTTTTGGAGTTAAAGCAATAAATTGTCATACAGAGTGTTATTTATTATTTCTTGAAATTGTGGTCACTGTTGGAACATGATGCTAACAGTAGCCACTCATACTTCTAACAGTGACCACTACTTTTCAACAAGTAAAAATCAAAAACAAACTATTCATTTTCACTTTTTAATAATTACTCTGATAGGAAAAATGTATAAAAAAAATAGTTTATAACAATGCATACTTTTAAAAAGTATAAGGTAACTCATTTAGAAACCAGAGAACAGTTATAAAGATATAAAAGGAAACAAAAATAGTCATTTAACTCATTTAAATTTTCTTGATCTTCAAAATCCTGTTGTTCTTCAAAATCCTCGGAAAAAGTTAAAGAAGCAAATGACAAATCATTTTCATTTTCAGATGTAGAACTGGATTCACCAGTCTCTTGACGTGAGAGGTTTTTTTTACCTTATGTTTTAACTTCGCAACTTGTTCGCCTTGTAGTTTTTCTATGAAAGGAGTACTAGTTAGTATTTCTGTTGATTTCTTTTTCCTGCCACGATTAGAATTCACTTGCTTCTCAGATTTGTGGCAAGGTTTCACCAATTCTGCGGAAAAATACAAAGTTGCGTCCTGATTGTTGTCATTACTTAACTGATGATCTAAATATGAGACTGCGTTAACTGAAGGCGTTACAGCGGATGTAGATGGTATTCCACAAGTAACATTTAAGCCCGGTTCTATTGGAATATCTGTAACTGAAGCTGGCAAAAACTCATCATCACTAAAGCAGTTGGGATTCAAGGGAAAAATTCCTGTATTTCGAAAAGCTGAAACGACATTTTTGGCGCAGAATGTTTGTCCGTAACATTGACGTAATAATTCTGCGATTTAATATATATCTATTATTTTACCAGGATGAGTGATCAGCCAGTTGCCAGACTCCTTATTATAATATTTTTTTAATGGACCATGTACACATTTATCTAATGGCTGTAACTTATGACTAGTTATGTAAATAGAATTACATTATTTTTTTATTAGTTTCTATCACGTCCAAGTTAATATGTGTTTCATGGTTATCCATAATAAGAAGCACTGGATAGTTTTCACTAGAACCTGCATGTTGTATAAAATGGTTTGGCCACTGTATGAATATCTCCTTTAAAATCCACCCAAAAGAATTTTCCGCACCAACACTACTTGGTGGGGCTCCATTCATCATATGATCCTTGAAAATTTTTCGTGGAAATATTAATAATGGTGATACTGAGTTTCCAATTGCATTAATGGCTCCGACCATAGTTACTAGAGTACCTCGTTCAGTAGAGGTGACCTGACCAACTTGCTTTTGACCGCAAGTAGCAACAACTTTATTTGTATCATGTACTGTGGTTAATGCCGTCTCGTCAACATTCAAGTTTTTGAAAATTTTTTGAATAACTGGCTCATAATAATAATAATAATAATAATAATAATAATACTCTCCCTAATTCACTCCTTACGAGTGAATTTCAACCCCTGAAGTCGACTTAACGACTTGTGTAGGGGAAGGGACGGCTATTATTATTATTTGCCGTGGCGCTCCGGGGCGACAAAGATGATTGATGGTGCCATTTGACTTACAGGTGAGGAAAACCCGGAAAACCTCACCCACCATCATCGAGACGGTAATGTATGGTGACTTTTTTTTTCCGCATGTCATATCAACAGAAACTTAATTTCTATTAATACGCCACACATCAAATCCTAAACCGAACCATGCAATTTAATTAAAAATCCACATGGTCTGGTCTGGGATTCGAAACCCAGCAGTCTCAGACTCATAAACTTGCCTATAAATGAATATAAGCGCGATAGACCGCTACACCACCGTCCCGATATTGAAGCCCATTGCCCGGACCAAGGAAGTTGCTTCCGATATTCTCAATGATAATTCGCGATTTCTCTTCATAAAGCCAGTAAACCACTTAGGACCCGCAGACTCTGTTTCTCTCCAAGCGTCAGGAATTTTTTTCTTCTGCAAGTTCGTATGCAAATCTTCGTATTCGTGTTGGAGTGAAACCGTGGTGCAAATTGGCCAAAGTCCTTAAGTAAGGAACCAACTTTTCTTCTTCCGAAGAAGTGAATACACGATTGACGGAATAATTTGGGATATACAGCTTTAAGGAAATTTAAATTATCAATATTATTCTTACATTTCACGACGTATCTCCTAAGTGTTGTTCTTGGTATTTTGTATTCCAATGCTGCTTTTTTTGTCGACCATCCATCATCGAATATTTTCTGCAGAGCATCTCTCATAACATGCTCAGGTGTTTTTCCCACCCCCGTTTTCTTTGGTTTTCCCTCTTGGGCATTGTAATCTGTAAGGCACTAAATCATAAAAAGGAAAACCGATCTTACAATGGCCACCCCTAACTAGATCCTAAAAGCAGTGGCCACTGTTGGCTTACCTGACCATGGCCAGTGTTGGATTATTTACGTGTTTCAGAAAAATATAATTGGAGAGGTTTTAAAATAAAGTAAACGATTAAAAATTAGAAACATGTCACAGCTTTTGAAATGTAAATGTTATTTATAATTTGTTTTGCTCATTAAATCATTAAAGTAGCAGTAAAAACTGTACAATCTGAATCAAAATGTATATTTCGGCGCAGTGGTAAACGATTTTACTTGTCACATTAACTCTGTTGAACTGACAACTAAGGTATGTGCAGTGAATATGCCCATATTAAGCAGAATCCTTGATAAAAATTA